CTCAGCCAGGTCTCCAGCACGTGCCAGCAGATCCTCGGGGCAGCTTCCCAAGCTCTGTAGGCACACAAGGCAGTGACATCCGAGGGTAGGCTCCTTGTGCTAACCTGTCTGTGACACCTCAGCATCTTCTGAGCCACCCAGTGGCTTACATCTACACCTCTGATAAGGATTAAATCTCACTCTGGGGGTGGAATGACTTCTACATTTGCCCCTTCACTCAGTGTTCTACTGCTGCCCTGGGGGAGGACACTGTTCCCTATGTGTGCTATGATGAATCTCTCCTTACTCCTTGGTGGCTTATCCCATAACTAGTTAATAATGCTTTAAACATTTCTTGTTCAAATTACTATATGGTTTCTGTCCCTTAACAGGCCCAGTACTGCTTGGCCAGGTTATGCTGCAATTTAATGATCAGGCAAAGGGTGATAGCAAAAAAGAGAAAAACTGTACTGTACATATGAATGCTTTCACAGTTTCATATGATGATACAGATGTACACTAAGTATATAAAATGCTTTTAAGAAAAATGTGGGGTTGCAGACTTTGGTTTTTTCTTAAAAAAAAAAACCTATATGCCTATAATCCCAGCACTCGGGAGCCTGAGGCACAAAGACAGCCATGAGTTTGAGGTCAGCCTGGGCTACATACTGAGTTCAAGAGCAGCCTGAACTACTTAGCAAGACCTTGTCTCAAAAACAAAAACAAAAAAACTTTCCCTAAACTATTACAAAGTAAACAGGAAGCATGTCTTAATCTTCCAAGACAGAAGCTCCTGTACCACTTTTAAATGGGGGAACAGTGGGAGGGGAACTGTCCTTTAATAGAGGACTGACCACTTCTGCAGGTCCCAGGAGTATGTGGGACTCACTCCAGAGGTTCCCACCATATGCCTCGCAGGGTTGGATCCTTCCTGACCAAGGCCAGGACCTGGGGCAACACACGGCCAGGGCTGAGACAGCAACCTTTTCTGGAGCCCAGGACAGTCTCTGGCCTGGGCTAGGGGTGGCTTCTTACAAGCTGTGACAGAAGCCCTCGGACTGTCAGTTTAGCCAGTAATCACCTAGGGCCCTCCACCCCTTTTTCTAAAGGCCGAGGGGTTCCATTGCTTTCCACTGCCTGCACTTCTCAAATGTACAGCACTGTCCTGGCCAGTGCAATGGCTTTCACTGGTACATGCTAAACCTGCCCACCTCCAACCAATCTGAACTCTCCAGGTACCAACCATCTGTACCCTATCTATAATTGGTGATATCATCAGCGCCAGTCTAACTGAGGGTGACACAACTCCAAACTCCATGTCTGCTGCCTCAGGGCATGCCTGGCACCAGCTGGAGCAGATCAAGAACCCTGGGAATCAGACTGACATTTGCCAGCAGGAAGTTTACTGAGGAGCACTCCTGGGGACAAGGACTAAACCAGAGGAAGCCGAAATGTGATGCTGTGAGGCACCACAACGCACCACAACAAAACCTTAGCCAGTGGCACTAGAGGAAGGAGATCTGGATGGCACACATACAGACACGCTATAATTATAGTCAGGGGAAGAAAGAAGCAGAAATTTAAAAAGCACAAACTCAGTTGTTAACATGGGTTAAAAATAAGGGGGAGGAAGCTGGATGTGGGCGCATGGTTGTAATCCTAGCACTTGGGGAGGCTGAGGCAGGAGGACTGCTGTGAGTTCAAGGCCAGCCTGGGCTACATAGTGAGTTCACCACCAACCTGAACTACTTAGTGAGACCTTGTCTCAAAAAACCAAAACAAAACAAAACAATAAGGGGGAGGGTTCAATAAGTAAGAAAAAGCCTGAATTAACCTAGTGAACCCTTCCTCAACTTATGTCAAATGACATTTATGTGCACAAGTATGTAAATGTTTAAGAAAAATGCAGAATAATGGACTTCAAGTATTTTATTTTATTTGTTTCTTTTCCTTCAGTGAGATGGATGGAACCCAGGGCCTTGTGCCTATTAGACAAGTACCCTACCACTGAGTTATACCCTCGGCCCTGTACTTTACTTTTTGTTAAAAGAAAAAAGAGAAATTTTTCCTAAAGTGTTATAAACAAAGAGACCTCCCCAAAATGTTGAAGAAAGTATTTACAAGGCAATAAAGTAGTAAAACCCTTCCTGCATTGTTTGTAGAAAGTGCTTACAAATCAGAAAGAGGAATTCTCAGATCAGCCCAGCTACAGTGGCACACAAAAAGAACCTGACATGTTACTCTGCCTTCTGAGAGCTCAAAGGGCTGGAAAGGAGTCATTTCAGGTTTTGTCTTCAGGCCTATCCTGGAAATGGCACACACCACTTGAGTTCACACCCTGCAGACAGGAATCTGGCCATGTGGTCATACCTGACTGAGCCATGTAAGGAAACTGTGTGCCCCAGAAGGGAAAACTGCATTCCTGTGTGGTGAACAAGTAATCACCAAAAGGGTCTTCAGAACAATATAAAATGCCCATGATTAGGAAGTGGTAACCATAAAACTCAGGATAACAGCTACCTTAGAGCAGGGGTTTTGGGAAATTTAGAGATGATGGCAATGTGAGCTGCAGTTACTTAAATATTCTCATATAAATTTATTAAGCTGTACTTTAGGTTTCTGCAGTTCTAATATCTTTTTCATGGCAAAGTTTTACAATAAGGTTCTATGCTTGTTTCAAGAGGATAGAACAGTTCAATCTTTACCAGATGTATCTGGAGACACCACAGTCAATCAAATGGATCATAAAATTAGATTTCAAAGTGACACACGCCACAGGTTTAATGCTCTTTAGTTTTACCTACTAAGTAAAGGCCAATATTTGCACTTCATTTCCATAATTTCTGAGTTCAATTTTGGTATTTACATGGTAGGAAATAGGCTTACAGAAATGAAAGGCTGATTTACAACATTTTTCATATAAGAAATACGATGTAACAGCTCAGTGTGCAGTAAGAACGCAGGAATTTAGTCTTTCAGTCCATCATCACTCACTAATAACCCACCAGCCATCCAACTTTAATTCAGATTCTTCTCAGAAGAAATCAAATAGGAGTGAAAAGACCCTAAAATAGCCCTATAATTCCTTCCTCCTGATGTTCCTGCCCTTGTGTAAGATCACTTATTGAGAGTGGGTGGGATTTACTGACTGGTTTCTAACTAAGAACACAACGAAGGTGACAAGATATGTGTGGTCATGCAGAAGACTAATGTCTGTCTGGCTAAGAAGACTCTCGGGAGCTTTGATAAAGCAAACTGCCTATGATGAGGACCACATGAAAAGCATCTGAGGATGGTTTCCAGCCAACAGCCAGGAAGAAACAGAGGCCTTCAGTGTGAGAACATACAAGCAACTGCCAAAACTCCTGTAGGCATGGAAAACTGCTTCCTCACTCAAGCCTCAGATGAGACCCATTCCTAGCTGACACAGCCTACATCCTCACAGAGTGCTCAACTGAGCCATACCCAGGCTGACCCACAAAAACCGTGCTACAATAAATGTGTTGTTTGAAGCCAGTACATTTGTAGTAACTTAGCAATACATAATAGAGAATCCTCACGAAAATTCTAGTATTTTTCCAAATCCAAGAATGCTTGGCAGAAAAATAATTTTCCATTATCTTTTCAATAACAAAAGCCAGAAGTTCAACAAGGTACTTCAGGGCAAGACAAGAATTCACATGAGCTGGACTGACTACCATATATTTTTTAACAGTGCCACCAGAGGCATTTCATTTATCAGTTGTTGAAGGAAAGTACATTACTACCCCTGCCAAGTACACACTGCTGTACTATTTTTAGAATTTTACAGAAAAATATATAAGAAATGTCTGGTTGTAGTCTACATGTCTAGCAAGTGGTTGTGCTATATGGGAGATGAAGAGGAACAGAAAAATATTTAGTGTTCAGCTGGGAGTGGTGCAGCACACCCGTAATCCCAGCACTGGGCAGGTTGAGACAGGAGGATCAGAAGCTCAAGCACAGCCTAGGAGACTTGGTGAAACTTGTCTTAATTTTTTTTTTTTTTTTTAAAAAAGGCTGGAGATGAAGTTCAGTGTGAAGGCCCAAGTTCAATCCCTAGTAATGCAAATAAATAAACAAGCAAATAAAATGTTTAAATATTTATCATTTATTTCCCATAAAACTATAAATTGCCAGATATATAATTCAGAAATTCTTACTGGCTTGTGATTTCTACTGTACTAAGACATGCAAGCAACAGATGCTTGAATGTGAACAGATTGAGATGTTAGGTGCTACTGTATTTAATAAAGAAATTGTGTTTGACAGCTTTTGTGCTAATATTTGGCAAAGCTCTCAATTATTTCATCTCAATCTAATTACTTAGTATTTTTCTCAAAACTTACCCTATAGGAAAAGAATAAACCACAAATGACTGACCCAGAATTGCAAACTTACTTAAAAAAGAAAAAACAACCTGCTTTGTGAGTAGTAAAATAATCCTCTGGATGTCAAATACATTTCAGTTAAAAGTTGTGAGCATACATCATTTTTAATACTATTATAACACATACTATAAACACACAGAGCAACTGGTCTCTGCCATCCAGAGTTTATGCATTTTTATGACACTACAATACACACAATGCAAAATACTTCTCTTATGCTCACATTCACTCACAATAGCAAATACTGTGTACAGGTTCAATAACCTAAAAGCCAAGCAGGAAGCACTATGAGAGCCCATCTCTTTTAAAGATACTTAAATACTTGATCCAAATTCTAAGGGATTGTTTAAGAGAAACTCCTGGAACAAGGAAGAGAGTGCTATATTTTTAAAGCAATAAGGGTTAAGGGGTCATGAAATTTAGTGAGTGTAGCTCAGCCAAATGAGAATAAAGGAGGCAGGGAGTAGGTTTCTTTTCTTCATAAACATGGAACTTGTGTATAAAATACAGTTCTATGGAATAACTTTACTACATTAATTTCACTTTCTTAGTCATAAGAATTATTAACATTCAAGATAATAAAAAATAGAAAGATTCATAAAAATTACTTACTCTTTGTACTCTCTCCCCAGTTCTTAAAATCCACTACATCACCTGAATGCATAGCAGACATGATCTTCTGAGCAACACTGGAGAGTGGTGTCTCACAGAGATCAAAGCCTACACATGCCTCAGAATTTTCCATTTTCATAAAGTCCTAAATGTAAGATTAACATAAGATAAACACACTTATACTGATACTTTAAAATAAGAAACTCCATTGTTATATATTTGAAAAATTTATGTAGACCTTCACTTAAACATCGATATTAATAACCATGAGATAGGTTTCTATTATCCCATAATCCCAAAAGGATAGTCAAAGGAAAAAATATAGACACTCAACTTGGGATCATAGTAAACAAATAACTCACTGTCTAGCTAACCAATTATGAAGCAAGCAATCTATTCAAATCATTTCTCCATTTTGAAAAATGGTTATTAATCTTAAAGTAAATATATCTGACAACACATCAATTACAACTGACTTGGGTCATAGCAGATGCGGCCTACCAACCCTTCCATCGATCAGCCTTACTGGTCCTCTGGGCTGAGCAGGTGAAGGTCTGGATGGGAACTACACAGACCAAGTATTGACTACACATCTAAACTATCTGACACTAATTTCAATAGAACTTGCTATCATAAGCCAGGATACAAAGTGACATGTTTTTTCTATATTACTTGAGAAAAAAAAAATTTCTATCTCAAGACAGAATAGGAAAAAATTAAGTCACTCAAGTAAGAAACTGATAACTACTGGGTAAAATTCACTGCTAAAAATTGTTCAAGTATATTAAAGTTCACTTAATAAAAATGTTTTAAAATAACCAATACAGTAGTTGGCAAAACATTTTTGTTCAATGGCTTACAAAAAATAATTGCTTACTATTACCTAAGCATGCCCATTTTCTGATAATCATAGCTAAAAAATCCATAAAGTCCACCCAAAATGAGTTTTTATGGCATCCCATAAAACAAGCAGGTAAGAAATATTCTTGAAGGTATTACCTATAAAGTTACATGGTATCTAATAGAAGTCATGCACAAACTGAGACCTTAAGGAGAATTTGGCATAATAAGCTACTTCAAATTACTTTATACATTTGTGTGCATGTGTGTTACCAGGAATCAAACTCAGGACCTTACACTTGCCAGGCAGGCACTGCACCACTAAGCTAAATCCCCAGCCCTATACTAAATCTTAATTTCTAATTGTCTAAATACTAATAAGACAGGCATGGTAATTACAGGCACAGGCCTGTAATCTAGCACTCAGGAAACTGAGCCAGAAGGATCGCCACAAGTTCAAGGCCAGCCTGGGCACCACAGTGAGTTCAAGTCCAGCCAGAACTACATAACAAGACCCTGTCACAAACAAACCAACCTAAATATATAAAAAAGAAATACTAGGTAATAGCCTATATTTTAAGTATTTTCACTCTTAAAGACATTTATTAGAAATGCACATAAATCTTTTGACTAACTTGTAGTAATTTTAAAACTTAAATTTCAAGTTTCATTTGAAGGCTGTTTATAAGTCAAAGCATTCTCGAGATCTGTCTTGCAGAAACTGGTTTTCTTTGTTGGTTTTTTTTTTTTTTTTTGGTCTTTTTGAGACAGGGTCTGGCTACGCCATTCAGGCTGGTCTTGAACTCACTTTATAGCCTGGGCTGGCCTCGAACTCACAACCCCTCCTGCCTCAGCCTCCCAAGTGCTGGGATTACAGGCATGTGCCACCATGCCTGGCTCTGAAACCTATATTCTTAAAACCCAGAAAGAAATGAAAAAGATCAACAGAATCCTGGCACTCTGTGGTACAAGTAGGAATATCCATTCTCAAAGTCCACAGGAGAGAACTATGGGAAAATACAGTAGGAATATCCATTCTCAAAGTCTACACAAGAGAACTACGGGAAAATACAGTTTAAGTAGCAAAATTTCACTTCAGTCAAAAATGAGGGTCCTTGGCTATTTCACATATATAGCAGTGCCCTCTCTGGGACAGAGGACATTCCAAACCCCATGCAAGCCTGGAGCTGCAGACAGTATTGAACTCTATACATCTGACAATTGACAGGGCTACTAAGTGACTAATCCACACAGCATTTCAGAACAGGAATTATTCAGGTCATGGATAAGGTCTGAGACTCCATCACATTATACAGAATAACTTCAAACTTAGTTTCTGGAATGTCCCATTTACTACCCTCTAATCACAGATGACATCAAGTAAGTAAATTTTCACAAAACAAAACTAGAATAAGGGGTTACTATTGTATTAATGCCTATAGATCTAAGAATGACAACTCAAAGTTCTACAAAATTTCAAAATAATTAATAGATTAAGGGGCTGGGGATATAGCTCAGTGGCATAAGCGCCTGCCTGGCAAGCGCAAGGTCGTGAGTTTGATCCCTGGTACTGCAAAAAAAAAAAAAAAAACATTAAAAAAAAGTAAAAGAGAAATTGAACTGTATTAAAAAGTAATTTGCATCACATAATAATGCTTTTTCTCTGTAAGCAGAAATATATCAGGACTAGGTACCACCAAGCAAATAATCGAATTATAAAAAGTACTGGTGCTTTGAACCAATGTTATGTGAGGAAAAAAAAGATGAACTAATACTGAAATGCTTGGAACCAAAAATGCCTTGGATTTCAGGTTTGGAATAGTTACATATACATAAAGACCTCTTTGTGGGATGGGACCCAGGTCTAAATACAAAATTCATTTGTTTCACATAATCTTATACACACAACCAGAAGATAGTTTTATAAAAGATTTTTAGTGCACTTGCCTAGTGATTGTGACCCATCATGAGGTCAGGTGTGGAGTTTTCCACTTATGTCACACCAGCACTTAAAAAGTTTCAGGTTTTGGAGCATTGGATTTTCAGATTAGGAATATTTAACCTTTGTAATACAGTATTTGTAAATCTATTAAATGAAATGTTCCACTGACCTCAAATTTTAAAACATAGTAGTTTATTAGAAACATTCTCCTAATACATAAAACATTAAAATATAAAATGTGTAATACAGATTCAGTTTTTAGTTATTTTCAATCTTTAAGACCATCAGCCTTAATTTTTGATTGGTTTTCTAGGTTTTCCACAATATCTTTCAGATAGTCTCCATTTTTAAAAAAATGTACATATAATTCTCTTTCTATCTGATGCAATTTATTAGTTGCCAGAGTTTTTCTTTTTGTCTTCACATCAGCAAGAATATCAGTAAGGAGAAGATTTAATTTATTCAGCTGCGATTCAACTCGATGAAACTGTTCTGTTATGTCCTAAAAGGGAAAAATAAAAATGCTTTTAATCAAGATCTTTATTCCTAATACCAATTTAAATTATTAAATTTAAAATATAATTTAGAAGGAAAGAATAAATGACTTAATAACTCCCACAATTTTAGCAATAAATAACAATTAAAACTCAGTAACAGGCTTAGGGATTACATGTAAAATTAACTGCAACAACTTCTGAGGTGTATATTAAATAATTCAAAGCAAATGTGAACTGTTCTATGTATTCATGTACTCAATAAATATTACTGAATACAGCCAGGCGTAGTGGCGCACACCTGTAATCCCAGCATTTGGGAGGCAGAGACAGGAAGATTGCCTCAAGTTCAAGGCAACCCTGGACTACAAAGTGAGTTCAAAGCCATCCTGAACAGCTAGTGACACCCTGCCTCAAAAAGACAAAAAAGGGGGGGTAGGGATATAGCTTAGTGACGTGATGCCTGCCTAGTGAGCACAAAGCGCTAAGTTCAATTCCTGGTAGCCCACCCACAAAATATTACTGAATGCCTACCACGTGCCAACCATGTATTTCATAGACTACAGATGCAAGGAACAAAATTTTTCTTATGGAGTTGATATTCTGCTTAATTAATTAAACTTTGTGTTAGCTTAATTCTAAACACAAATACAGAAGAAATCTTGAAATAAAGACAAATAAAAAATTAACTCAATAAAAATCTCCATTTTACCCTTTTCCCTATGGTGTCTTAGAGGACAGAATTACATATAACACTCAACAAAAACCATCCTGATATAAAATTCTGCTCAAAACTTGCTGGATCCTTTCCACTTAGTAAATGCAGTTTCCTCACTTTCTAGCACTTAAGGTGCTAGAAATTTAACAAGTTCCCACAGCTTTCCATTCTTTTCTTACAAATTTTAGCCAGCGCCAAAACACAGTCTCAGAAAATCTGTAGTTCTAGCTACCTCAACATTCCACTGCTTCTCAGCATGGCCCACAACTCTATAAGTACCTGAAGAGCTCTTCTGAATACACAAGTTCCTGTAACTCACTCCAGATTAAGCTCTGCAACTGGGCCAGGGATCCACATTTCCACAGGTTCCCTGCTGATCCTAATGTACAAGTTCCAAGATGATTGCTTAAAATCTGTCATAAATGCCAGTTCAATAGAACAATACTTCTTAAATTACATTTTTAAAAGTGTGTAATTTTGGTATTATTACTACATTTAGTGTTCTCCTTTGAGAAAAACTTCATAAACTTGAATATACTGAGAAACAAAACTCTCATCTTTAATTTCAATTAAATACTAAAGATCTTACAATTCCTAAAATACTCCTACAGGTATATAAAAAAAAGTTCCAGTTCATTAATAATGAAACTGCAACTAAAAAAACTGATACATTTTTATACCATAGTTAGGCAGAGGAAAATATTAATAAGTCATGATAAGAGTATAGTAAAATTACCATATTGAGGAATTCTAAGGTGCATTTTTTCACTTTTTAACACATCTGCATCTTATAACTGAGAGAATCATGATTATTTGTGGTAGGCATTTTTAAGAAATACTTTCTCATCAACATTCTTGAGGTATAGTTTGAAAAAATACAATCAATAGTGAATTAAAAAGTGAGATGAATTCTAAACTGAATGTGAAGCTTTATAAACATTTTAATGGGCTTATTTTTTCATTTTAAATATGTTCAGGAGTGGTATGATATGGGCATAGTGGTGCACAACTGCAACCCCAGCACTCAGGACAACTGCCATGAGTTCAATGCCAGCCTGGGCTATAGAAGTTCAGGCTAGCCTGCACTAAATAATGAGACCCTAGGAAATAAGAGTGGTATGATAAAAATCTATGCCTACCTATACCTAAAAGATCCTGTGTAATAAGTACAGTTTAAACAACAAAAATTACCAATAAGCATCATGTCAGTTTCACTGAAAGTTTTTTCCTCTTAGCAATTCATGAGATGATGATGTAGCACATCATCAACAGTGCCTAGTAGACGGTATTGGTGAGATTATGAATAAGTGCCATTAATCAGAAAGGAATTTGGCAGTATCAAGGGGTGTGTGTGTTTGTGTGTGTGTGTGTGTGTGTGTGTGTGTATCAATGATCCTACTTCCAAGAATTAATCCGTATCAAAGTATTCAACAAAAAAATGCTAAAACACCCAAAGATATAGTTGATGTTGATGAAGATCAAACAAAGAAAAAGATGAAGACTACCAACATATCCAAAGTGGTAGAATGGTTACAGAAACTACGGCACACTAATTAAATCAACAGAGTATTATAAAAATTTAAAAAACGCCAGGCCGGGGATACAGCGCCTGCCTGGCAAGTGGGACGTCCTGAGTTCAACTCCAGGTACAAAAAGAAAAATTAAGAAAACTAGAGAGTAAAAATTTATATTTCATAATGCAAGTAGGAACAAAGAATAAAATAAATGAAAACTGTGTGCCTTGGAATTACTAACCAAAAGAAAGATGACACAGAAACATTAGTATCAAGCCAAAGAATAACAAGACAGAAAGCATTATAGGGATAAAGAGGTCATTATGTAATGCTAAAATGCTTTGATTCATCACAATTTAAATCTACCAGGATAATTCTTCACCAGAATGTTAAACTTGGATGTAACTTACAAGAGACTCAAAACTGATACAACTATACAGACTAAATGTCAAACCCACCATAATAGCAGATTTTCACACAGTTCTTCCATTAACAGAGTAACAAGATAAAATTTTTAAAAAGTAGTCATAGTCAGAGAGCCAGGCCTGGTGGCACATGCCTGTAATCCCAGCACTTGAGAGGCTGAGTGAGGCAGGAGGATCACTGCAAGTTCAAGACCAGCCCAGGCTACAAAGTGAGCTTGAGGCCAGCCTGAACTGTACAGCAAGACCCTGTCCCAAAAAGACAAAAAAGAAAAAAAAAAGAAAAAAGAAAAAGAGACTATAATGATGCTAAAGGTCAACCTTAGCAAGAAATAAAAAAAGACACTGCTGGTACACACATTTTTGTTTTTTAAAAAGGGTAAAAAATAAAAGAAGGATAAACAACATAAAATTTAAAATCCTTTAGAAGAAAAATGAAACAGTAAAAAATATGAAAAGACAACCAAATATATTTCACACATATAATTAACAAAGAATTAGCACTGAAATGTACAAAGAACTCCCACATACACACAAAAAAATAGGCAAAGAAAATTTACAAATGATTCTCAGAATAAGGTGAATGGCCAGTAAACAAGTAAAAGAGAGGCTTAACCTCCCTAGTAATAGGGACAATACCAATGGACATCATTTTACACATACAAGATAGGCAGAAATTTATAGATCAATACTATGTGATGAAAATGATACAAATAAATAGCATCTGTTAACACATTCCCACCAGCTTTTACTACTGGTGGTACACGCATGACTGTCCCATCCAGCAGCCTGTACCACCCAATGGGGCAGTCATGCATGTACCACCAGTGGTGCAGACCTCCCCAGCAGCAAGAGATATGAATTATCACCCCACCATGAATGTGTTAAGTCACCGCTGGTACAATATGGTACAACTGCTTAGAAAACAATACAATATACAGGCTGAGTATCCCTCTTACGGAAACCCAAACACAGAAACTTTAAGAGGTTTTTTGGTTGTTGTCATTGTTACTTGTTTTGTTTGTTTTTTGAGACATAATCTCCCTATGTAGTTCAGGCTGGCCTTGACCTTACTACGTAGCCCAGGCTGGCCTTGAACTTACAGCAATCCTCTTGCCTCAGCCTCCAGAGTGCTAGAATTACAGGAGTGTGCCACCACGCTCAGGCTGTTTTTGTTTCTTAACATTGTTTTTCAGATTTATCCATGTACATACATATAAAGCTCTTCATTCAGTTTTCTCTTTTATATAACTAAGATTCAACTAGATGAAATTCCACAATTATCTGTTCTACTGGCAGACATTTAGATTGTTTCCAGTTTTTGCTATTACAAATCAGACTGCTGTAAATGGTCTAGTTGTGTCTCATAGTTGCATATTTGCAAATGCATGTGGTGTGCACACAGATGTGTAAGCATACACACACACATATCCACATGAGTAAAATTGCTGGACTGTAAAATACCCACATATTCACTTTCACAGTATAAATATTCTTTATCTGAAACCTGGGACCAAACAAAAGTGTTTCAGCCTTCAGAGTTCTTTGGATGTTGGCATATTTGCATTTCACCCCTATCTGAAAATCTCAAGCAAAAATTTTTAAGATCCAATATTTTCTAAAAGTATGCTTTTCTGAATCCCACTGTTGGGGGTGCTGAGACAGGAGGACCACAAATTTGAGGCTAGCCAGAGCAACTCAGACCCTGTCTCAAAATTAAAAAGGCTGAGGATATAGCTTAGTGATAGAGCACCTGTCTACCACGCCTGAGGCTCTGGGTTTAATCCTAAGTACTGAAAAAAAATCAATATTATATATCCTTTTGTGGTGCCTGAAAAATTTATAAATTTTAAACTTTTGTGTTTGACAATCAAAAGTATTTGAAAAATACATTTATACTTAAAAAGAGATGAAAATTTCTTTTAGGGCAATAAGATGGGATAACACTTTCATGTGAATATTTTATTTAACATCTTTTACAATGAACATTATTTTTTAAAGTATTTTAATTACTATAGCAAATACCTACCTGATCTCTAAGCAAAAGCTGATTTCCTCCTTGATACAAAGCATCACAAAGCATATCCACATCACTATTTAGTTTGGACAGAAATAAAAAATGTTCTTGAGCAGATACTGTCAATTGATCTTGTACTAAAGAAACATCCTGTTTCAATTTCTCAGCCACTTCCTCTAGGTTTCCATAAGTGATAAACAATTCTTTTCTCTTATTCTCTCCCTCTAAAAGTTGATAAAGCCTAAAATATAAAAGTAAAAATTATAGGGAGAACTTTGTCAAGTTAGTACAGTTTTCAAAATTATAATTCGCTACACTGGAATATTTATGCAGACAGCTAAATAACAACCAAAAACTATTAATTTGTGTGCTTCTAAAATCAAGCAACTAAACATTTCAACGATAAGACTACTTAAGTATAGCAATATTCCATTGCATATGAATTCCCAGTTTCTCTATCTTCAAGTTTTAGATAAAAAATTTTTCTCAATTTTAACTGTCATTAACCTACTTTTAAAAGCATGCTTTAAAGATACTTTCTAAGAAAACACTTCTTTCACAGAACACATCTACAAAACAATACCAACAACTTAAAACAAAGACCTAGGACTGAGTTCTCTATTATGTGAGAGGGCAGGCAAATCAATCTCTGAGACTTAATTTTTGTGTCTTAGTACCTACCTATTTTACAGGGTTTTGGAAAAAGACAAATAAGAAAAGAGAAAAGAGAAAACCTAAAGATGTAAATAATGTAAAAAAGTAAACAATAAAGAACCATATAAATGGCTACCACAAACTTTCCCTACTCTAATCTTGTCAGTATTTGGTTGGTAAATTAAAATACTCATGAGGTATGAGACCACTTTAGCCCTTCAATCATTAACAGCAGAAAAAAACCATCATCCAATAGGGCAAATGAAAAAATCTGGGCTAATACCTTCTACACATATCTGAAACTACCTGCTTTTCTTATATTAAAATATGCACACACATATACACTTTTAAACAAGTTATAAAAGACCTTATAAAACAGGTTCAAGTCTAAGACTGCAATTAAGGTCATTTGGGGTAACTACACAATTCCAGGTGGCATCATTCACATAGATCATGATCACGATGGCACTCCCTGAAACTGTACAATTAAGCAGTCATCCAAGTTCCTCATTTCATTAGTAAGAAAACAAGATTAGATGAGGCACTTATCCTCAATAATCCACCTGACCAGACATAAATGATGCCTTCTATTACCTTTTCTAAGTGTAGTCAATCGCCTGCCCACCAATACTATACTAAGCTGTAAACAAACTTCCTGCCCCAAATCTAAAATAATGTATCTAAATAATGGTGCCTAAAGGGGGGTAAAATTCTGTATCTATTCATTCCTCTACTCATCCACTTTAGCTCTAAATTAGCTATGTTCAGATCTCACATGAATGAAATGGGAGCAAAAGTTAAAAAGGGGAGTCTTGAAGAAAAGCAGAAAAGAATAAAAAGGACAAAACTGGATTAAAATCTTTTAAACTTCTAGATTTTAGTTCAAACTCTCCCCACAACAGAAAAGAACAAAATTACTAAGGAAGCAACAAAATATACGTACCTTTGAGTAGAATAATCCTTAGTATCAATGGTATTCCTTGGATTTATCTGCTGCGACACTGATGGGTCTTTTAACATTTCCAATCGCTGGGAAAGCATCATGTTATTTTGACTAAGTTCTTGAACCAAATTTTCAAATTGATGATATGTGTCCCAATGAGTCCTCAATTCAATTTCATATGACAATTGTACAAGTTCAAATGATGCCTTTTGCTTTATTAACTGATTTAAAACTAACTCTTGTCTTGCTGTATAATAATCTTGTTTAGCAATCTGCAGGTCAAAATCTCCCTTTACAACTGGCATATTCAATAACTGCGCATTCTCTTTTACCACAGCAGGCAAACTTTTGTCTTTTATGTGAGTGATTTGTTCTTCAAGTTTCAGAATCTCACTGTTCAAGCTAGAAATTTTGGCTTCCAAATTTTCTTTACCAACAGCCTACACAAAAAAAACAATTACACTTTAAAATGTAGACTTAAACTTAGTTTTTAAATTATTTTCACTTCCTATTTTAGGTGACCAACTAAAATGCTCAAATGAATAAAAACTAACTTCATATAAATAAAAGCCAAAATTATAGTTCAAAAAGTAAAAAATAAAGCCAGGCATAGTAATGCACTCCTGTAATCCCAGCACTCAAGAGGCTGAGGCAGGAGGATCACTGCAAGTTCTAGGCCAGCCTGAGCTACATAGTGAGTTCAAGTCCAGCATGAACTACAAGGTGAGAACCTGTCTCAAACAAAGAAACAAACAAACAGAAAGTAAAAAGTATGGCATAACAGAAAAGTCAGTATAAAACACTAAATTTTAATGCTACTACATGTGTTGCTACCAAAATAAGAGATCTTGTCATGCTTAACTGAATCAAAAGCATTAACAGCTCAATATTCACTAAGTGTAAATAAACACTATGTGAGTTTTCCCCCACATTATCTCAGTAGGTACTCTGCTAGTCATGCTCTTCACTTGAGCACACAAATACAGGACTTCTTTACTGTTCCAAGCCTGTGACAGCTGTAGTAACTAAAGTGATATTGATACTCAGATCAGAAAAGTTACATTTTTACTCAACTATCTAGTGGTTTACATTACCAAGAAAACAAGCTTCCCACATCTACAACCCATCTAGACATGCTCAACAAGGCAGCAAGGATTCAGTCTACAGAACCTGGACCTTTGACTACATTAGCACCATTCTCTGATCACAGCAAACAAGACAAAATGCTGATAATAAAACAACTTGTCTTTTTACCATACTTCTCAAAAAGGAAATTCCTGTTCAGTCTGTTCAGTTAATTTCTGAGTTAACAGAAATTTCAAATTCAGAACACAAAGTAAAGCATTTTTGTTTAAAACAGATGTGAATTATGTAGATACATAGAAATAGGTAACAGAATTATTACCATTTCTGCCTTGCATTAGTATGAGGACCTATTTGTAAAAAATGCTGAAATATATGTATCACAAATACGCACTAAAGAGAAAACTTTTTAAAAATTGTAATTCTTTATTCACCTTTTCTTTCTAAAGTACTTTAATAGCAATATTCAATCATATATTCCTAACAATAATTATGATATGAATCCAGTATCATTTCTTCTATTTACCTTGCTGGTTAGGCTATGAAGATTTTCCTCTGCCCATTTTACACTCGATTTCATGCTCAGATTACTTGCTTTCAAATGAATTAACTGATGTTGAGCACAGATGTATGCTAGTTGCAGTCTAGCCATCTCTAGTTGTCTCTCTTCAAGGATTTCTTGATTATGACATATAGATGATGTTTGAATATCTAAAAGTTGAAAATTTTCTTCATTTGAACTTTCAACTACTTCATGTACACCCTGAAAGAACTGCTTTTTGGTATACAAGGTTAAAGCTGCTGTGCTTTGTTCTTCTTGGCTTAGGAATCTTTCCAAGGAAAACTGAGATAAAAACACCACGGGATTTGCCTCTTGACTTAAATCAGAATGTCTGAAGAACATCATCAATTTAGTAACTCTGTCAGTAAGAGCCTGAAGTTCATTACTGAGTTTGGCATTCATAGCATTCAGAATTCCTTGACTCTGCTTCTGTTTTTTTGTGGCTTCTTCATGTTCAGCATTTAACCTCAGAGATTTGTGGCTAGATACTGAAGTCATCAGTTGGCATTTATTACGTCGCTGAATTTTTAGGTTCTTTAATTTCTGCAGCATTTGAACCTCATCCTCTAATTTCTCCAGCTCTTTATCATCCAGTCTAGGTGTCTTCAAATGAGAAGTTTTACAGGTTTTAAGAACTTCATCCAATGCTGACCCTTCTAGGATAGGTTTGCCTGATTTCTGAAGAATGCTAAAAGCTTCCAGTTCTTTTTCTGATAATACATTCTGTTCACTCACATTCCCACAAAACCATTTCAAAAATGCTTCATCTTCAGCAGTCTCAAACAGCCAGTCAAAATCTTCTCCATTAAGAATATCAGCTTTGGGATAACCAATTTTTTTTAATGTTTCTACAAACTCATTTCCACAACTCATGCTTTAACTACCCTAGTTGTTTTTTGCTTTGTTTTGTATCTGATATGGGTATGTGGTGATTTTTATCAAATAAATCCGAACAGGAACAAAACTAACTTTTAGGTAAGTCCACAGAGAGGGGCCGGGGATATAGCTAAGCGGCACAAGCGCCTGCCTGGCAAGCACAAGGTCCTGAGTACGATTCCCAGAACCCCTCCCAAACAAAAGTCCGTAGACTGGAAAAATATTTTTAGAATCTATAAGGACTCCTCCTAGAGGGGAAGAAAACAAGTATTAGACCACAAATAAGTGAATGTGTTAAGAGAAAGATACAGATAAACGTCATTTGATATTTGACAGCCGTATTTGTGAGCCAGTGCAATGGTTGATGAAGACAAAGGAAAACATAAGTAACGAGGGTATTTCTCAGAAAACCTCAACAGAAATGAAAATCCAGTAACAAAACCTTGTTTTTCCTAAAAGTGAAATCGTTTCAAATACACTACATTTGTATTTCATTCAAAGCAAATGAATCCAAACCCAAGCCACCAAGTAGCTAAGCAGCCACTTTTCCCTGCCCATCCTAGGTTAAAAAAACAGAAATAAACACAGTGGTTTAATGAGAAGGATCGATATTTACCCCGACGGCCCAATGAGCATCCGCCAAGCTCCCAGGAAACGATCCCGACGCAGCGCGGAGGAAGCGGGCCTGGGGAGTGAGAGCCAGGCGTCAGCGGCGCGGCGCTCAGGCCTCGTCACTTCCCGCAGCCGCGCGGACACCGACGCCGAGCGAGGCGGCGTGAGGCGGGCGTCGGGGCCGCAGGGGAACGCCGTGAGGTCGCGACGCGCCGGCACCCTAGCGGCTGAAATCTCTGGGTTGTTTTTTGTTCTGGGGTGTTTTGGGTGTGCAGTCCATCATGATACCTATGCTTGTTGAGAAAATACATACCAAACCCCCCAAACCCGAAACGGTGCAGACTGACAAACCGCAGGCAAAGGAGAGGCTGTCAGATCCCCAGCCGCTCCTCGCGCCTTCAGAGACCGGGTCTCGGCTCGCGGCCGAACCCGCCGCGCGGGCCAGGCTCTTGGCACCGTAGATCGCTGCTCCAACTCCTGAAAGAGAAGCGGCTCGCACAGACCACAGCCCGACAGGCCCGCACCTAGGCGACGCCCCTCACCTCAGGGATGCACCGCCAAAGCCCTCACAGATGGCGCCAAAGCACCGCACACCTCGCACTGCCTCACGGGAGCGCCGGCAAGTACGCATGCGCAGAGGGCCGGGGCGGTGAAGTCGATGTTTGCGCAGGCGTATTATCGGGGACCCGGGTTGGGCGGAACCAGAGCTACACTGTTGCTGCCCCGCCCGCGGCCTGGCGATCCTCCACCCCCACCCCCTCGCCCGACGGAGAGATCTGATTGGTTCCTTTGCCGAAGACCCCGCCCTCGTCCCGCCCCTCCCGGTACGAGTCCGGCGTCAGGCGTTCAGGGGACACTGAGTTCCTCTGTTGCGACGCCCTCCTCGGTTGCGACTCCCGCCTCCCCCTCTCTCTTCCACCAGGATCTCGATCCTCTCGCGACACTTCTGGGAAACGAAAGACAGGCCCGACAGGCCCGCGGACCTAGCCTGCCCCGCTCTGACGCGTGACCCGGCTCGGTGCCAGCGACCGGGACGCGCGCCAGCCGGGGCACTGCCTGGCACGTCTGCGGGGTCAGCGAGCTCCGCCGGAGGCTTAGGACGGACGCTGCTTTGCAAGGCACTTAACCCCCAAGCCTTCACCTGCCCGCTGAGCAAAAGCTGACTCCTCCCCTGCACATTTCCAAAACGTTAAAGTATAACCCACAAGAGCAAGGAGTGTTATGTGTCCGGGATGCCTTTAACTCAGGACAGGCGGAGGAGGGCCGAAATGACATAGGCAGTGAAAGAAAATGCTGAGAAGAATGCTAAGTTTGGCGCAGATCTGGTTGTTCCCCCAGTCCCGTGAAACCAGAGTCCTGGGTTTATTGTTTTTTATTGGAAAGAATTTATTTGTATGGAACAGAACCCTTTTGCATCTGTACCAGACAAAAATCATTTGCAAAAAGAACCCTTTTGCATCTGTACCAGACAAAAATCATTTGCAACTCACCAACCTTTTGTGAGTGAAACCTAAATTTGCAAGCTGTAGGCTTTGGTCATTACTAAGTGGTGTTCCCCTCCCCCGGTGATAAATGACCCTAAGGTGGCTTGTCAGATAATGGTCCAGTCCAATGTGACTAGGAGAAGTCTTTCTCCATTGTTTTTCTTAATGTATATATAGAGAAAAAATAAGTGTTCTTGGTCAGATACTGGGAATGGCGTTCAAGTGAGAGATACTTCCTAATAATTCTTGTTTTACTTTTTTATTCTCTTTTAAAAGTTAACAAAGCCTAAAAATAGTCAGGAAAAAAAAAAAAAAAAAAAACCTACAGAGGGGAAGTTAATGGAATCCAGGGGGCTGGACCAGGAGGACTCTGGTAGCTTTGGCTGGAGGTTGGGGGCAGCAGGGAGCCGGAGCTGAGTGGTTTTGGCCAGAGGAAGTGGAGGCTGTACAAGCAGGCGGTGCCTTCAGTAAATTTTGCTGAGGAGGCAAAGACAGACAGACAGAGAGAGAGAGAGAGAGAGAGAGAGGGAGCGCCAAGTGACACAAGATGAGGGGGCGGGAATGCAGGACCAGGACCGAAGGGAAGATTTTTGGTTTGTTTTGTTTTGTTTTAAAATGGGAGGAACTTGATATTTATAGACTGTGAGGAGGAACTCGGAGATGGAATTAAAGACGCCAAAAAGACAAGGGGCTACTTGATAGAAAGAGATCTTGGAGCCGGAGGGTGCAATCTCGCAGCCCTTCTGGAAATCTACTTTTCTTAATGATTCCTGGGTGATTTCCTCAGCTACAAATTCCCATTTTGAGTTGCTGAACATAGTTGTTTGAAAGGTGCTTGTGAGGCCATAGAAAACCATAAAAAACAGAAAGTGAAAATTACAGTGATATCGGCTCTCCCAGTATAAATAACAGACAATAGGGTCCACTCTGCAGACCTGGAAAGTGTTCTTGAGGTTGTATTTGTTTTTTTTTTTTGTTTTGTTTTGGTTTTTTTTGGATTTTTCTCCGGTACCAGGAACCGAACTTGAGGTTGTATTTGGAATTTAAGAAGGCAAACATGTTTATGCTTCTTTCCAAGACAAGTTTGTTTTCTTCTAATCAAAATCAGTTGGGGTTTTGGTAATGTCACAAAATAAATGGAGCCCAGGGGTTTATCCCTGCTGAGCAAGCCCCAAGGTGTATAATGGACTCTCCAGACAGGGCTGTGAGGATGCGTGTTTTGCTATCAATATTAAATAGTATTTGAGGTTTTGAACAGTGTCTTCCAGCTATTTTTAAACTTTGCAAGTAATGGTGTGACATTAAGGATTGTTTTCAGATGTTTTCAGTGGACATGTCGTAGGACTGTTTTCTCCAAGCCATGGGAGCAGAGGATGTTTTGAAGCAGGAAAGTGACCTTCTCAGACCTGTAGTAGCTTGACTGTGCGGTAACAAAATTGACAGAAGTGGAAAGGACAGCTGGCACCAGGGAACAGGCTGTGGAATGGCAGGGGGAGCCCCATGGGCCAGCCGAGCCCCGGGGCCTTGGGTTCTTTGTCTTTCTCCTCAGGGATCAGACTTGCTTTGACCACCAGCTTGGAGAAAGATGGAGGAAGAACAAGTTTGTTTTCCATCATGTTGGTACTCATGTGACAAAGGTGCAAACTCAGTCTCGAAGCTCAGAAGCAGGTTTGGGTTGGCACTACCAGGAAAGAGGTCATCCTCGTGGTAGCCCTTGGAGCTGGGAGGAGCAGGGCCACCGGCCCTGGAGGAACAGGGTCAGGGGTCTCAGAAAGAGCCTGAGCAGTGAAGGCAGTGGGAAGAGGGGCACAACCCTTGTTCATGCTCTCAGATCCCTGCAGTGTTGGGCGCACCCCCAGTGCAAGTGTCCCCCCTGCCCAAGAGACAGGAAATGAGGAAGGAGCTGTGTGAAAAGGCCCTGCCAGGGAGCAGTCTGGATTAGACCAGCTCCTGACACGTGTGGTCAGAATCCCAGCCAAAATGAGATAGGCAGGAACACAGAGGACTTGGGGCTCACTCCCCAGGGCAGGGCAGAGCCAGGAGATCCAGGAGGCAGGGTGGGCAGGAGTATAGACACCTGGATCCAATCCTGGGGGTGACAGGGACCCAGAATGCTGTAGGGAGGGGAGCAGCAAGACTGGTTTGGGTTACACTGTCTGCCAAGAAGACAGCGGCTAGGGTTGGGGTACAGGCAGGGGTCTCACACTGGGGTGCTCCAGTGGGAAGTGGTGGTGGTGAAGATTCTAAAACAATTTGCAGGAGGGGGGGTTGGTATCAGGATTCAAACTAACGACTTGAGTTTGCCAGGCAGGCACCGCACCACTGAGCTGTATCGCTGGCCCTCTAAAACATATATGGGAATTCATTCACACAATACCAGATTCCCCAGTCTTGAGGTCCTGTTGTCTCCAGGTGGGGGTCCCTTTCTTAGCTAGGAGTGGCCCTACTAACTGCCTGGAGGCCCAGGGGGCTCACATGGTTCAGAAACAAGTCACTGCTGCCCAGGAGGGCGGGGCTCCCATAGCTCCTCTCCCATGCCCACACCCAATGCTGCAAATGGGTTCCCTGGGACCATCCGCAGTGGGCTCTACCATGTCCCAGGGTGATGACCTGATGCTCTCAGCAAGTCCCCGACTGGCCAACCAGCTCCACAGCTCTCCAGCCTTCAAGGCTGCATGTACTTCCTGCTGTCTCTGTGAGGCAGGGATCCAGCGGCACCCCTCTCAGTGCCTGGGCCCTCAGGAGTCAGCGGGGGCATTCAGGGTCACTCTGGCCGGTCCTCCCCCTGCACGTGGTCTCACAACCTCGCAAATGCTCCCATGAGGGATTGACAGGAGCCAGGGTCCCTGTGCTCCCTGCCAACCCCAGAGGACAGGGCTCACGGGGCAGCAACAGCCAGCACCCAAGGGCGAGGGGAAGGGAGCAAAGCGAGCAATGGAAAGAACTGGAAGCCAGAGGTGAGGTATAAAAATCTGTATTTATATTACAATGACAGAATGACAGCACAGCCCCACCCGGAGTCAGTGGTGGGAGCCGTTCACTCTCAGCTCAGGTCTCTACCACACCTACCACCCAGCACCAGGCTCCCTCTGCACCCGACCAGCATAGAACCTGCCCTGGTGCCCTGGACAGAGACCCGTGCAGCCTGCTGGCCTGGTCAGGACCTGTGGGCAGGCGGTGGGGGTCTGGTCAGCCGACCCTGAGAGAGGCAGGGATGGTGGGGCAGACAGGAGCAGGAGGCCCTTGGACTGCAGTTTGGCATGGGGCTCCCTCTGTCCAGGAATGTGGCCACAAGCACCTCACCATCTCCTAGCCAGCTGGGTAGTAGAGCCTGTCACCAAGGAGCCGTCCCCCATAAGGTGGGAACTCCAGCCCCAGCCCTGAGTACCACATGGCAGGGGGACACAGGTGAAGAAAGTGGGCCGTGGCTTCTCTGGTCCTGATTTCTTCTACATCACCGTGATGGCCACCAGCTGTGGCCTCCTTGTGCAGAAAAAGGAGTAGGGAGGAAGCTGTGGATGCAGAGCTTAGCACCAGCCGCACTGTGGACCACCCTTCCACCCCTGCTAGTAGGGGCGGTGGAGAGCACCCTTGGGTGGCTGAAGAGGCCTACTCTCCAGTCCACATGGGAGCCACAGCCTGAACAGGCACAGGTGGAGGGTGGCCAAGGGGCCACTCTGGTCCCCCATATGGGGCTGGAGCCATGGGGGGAGGGGTGGAGCGCGGGCAGAGCTGAGGGGAGGGGACAGACAGGAGTGAGGGTTTGAGAACTCCGGCATCTCAGTGGGCCTGGAGTTCCAGGCCCTTTGACATGGGTTCCTGGCACACGGCAGGCAGAGCCCCTTCCTGGGTCTTGATCCCAGCCAGGCTGAGATGCAGAAGGAACCCCCACCACCCGCCAGCTCTTCTCCTGCTGTCCCCAGACCCCCGCTCCCTACTGGGCAAGTTCCATACCAGAGCTGTTTCCAGGGCCCCCTTTCTGCCTTCAGAGGCCATGGCCCAAGGGGTCCATGACAATGACTGGAGATAAACAGAATTCTCCCTGCCACTTGGAAATTGGTTACAAATGCACCAGAGGGGTGGCAGGCGCTGCTGTGCACCAGCCCTAGGGCCACCACCCAAGTATTGCTGTGTGGTCCCTGCCTGTGGGGACAAGGACTTCAGGACTGAAAGGCCCCATGACCAGAGAGAACTCTGTGCTCATCAGCTGCCAAAGTCAGACTCCTAGAGCCCTTGCCCCGACCTGGAGCAGGGTTCAAATCAGGTTACGGATTGGCAAGCAGGCCTGCTGTCCCCTGCTACACAGGCCACGCCCACCTACTGCGGCGGGGGGTGGGGTGGGGGTGGGGTCACACTGGGAGCTGGGTGGCAGCCCCCGCCCCCCCCCAGAGGAAGCCACTGCTGCTGGGATGGCCGCCCTGAGGGGAGGGCACAGAGGGCCCCTGCCAGGCAAGCCTGGATATCCCGTGAACCTTGAGGGACATGCTGGTGGCAGTGGGCAAGGCGAGACAGGGGACACAAGGCACACTATGACAACGTGACAGAGGACAGGTCCCTGAGACGCTGGGTCGCTCCCACCCCTCAGCAAATAAGGACACACGACAGCTAGGAAAATAGAGTACAAAAGTCTCATACAGGAAATAGAGGCGCATACACTCGCGTCTCTTGGCGAGTCTTTAGAGCTTTTTTCTCTTTTTAAAAAATGTTTCTCTGTTTTGTTTTTTTGGGAAAAGCCTCTGCCAGCTGAGGCTGCCACAGGCAGAACTGGTGAGGTCCCTCAAAGGGAGCTGGCCTTGCTGGGCAGTGTGGCTTTTTTTTTTTTCTTCTTTTTTTAAGAAAGGGAGGTGAAGCCGGGCGTGGTAGTGCACACCCGTGATCCCAGCACTCTGGGAGGCTGAGGCAGGAAGATTGCCAAGTTCAAGCCCAGCCTGGGCAACTTAGCGACTTAGTGAGACCCTGTCTCAAAATAAAAAATAAAAAAAAAAAGGCCTGGGGATGTAGCTCAGTCCTGATTCAATCCCCAGTACTGCAAAAACTTAAAAAGAAATGGGAAAAAAAAGAAGAAAGGGAGATGAGAAAGCTGAGGACCCAGTGGTTCAGCTGCTGGCCCAGATCCTCCCAGGCCTTGCAAGGAAGAGAAGCCCAATACCTGTGCAGACTGCACAGAGCCACGGGGGCCAGTGCAAGTGAGCTGGGCCAGCACTGGCCTCAGTGACCCCCAAAGGCCAGCCTCTCGGGACATCTGCCCTCTGAGGGCCCACATGTCTGCGTGTGCAAGAATATGTTGGTGCAAGTCTGGGTGCGTGCGCCTGTCTGCCGGTCCTAACAGAGAGGAAGCTGCCCAGCTTGGCACAGGGCGGCCCGGCCTCTCAGCCCGCATGCCCCAGCGTGCTCACCCAAGTCCAGCCCGGTGCCGAGCCTTCCACTCTATCCACGCCTCAGGAGCTGTGAGGACGACTGCCAGGAGCACCTTCCTTCCTTCCTCCGTCTACTCCTTCCTCCTGGGATCCGGCACTGGGGCTGGGCTCCCCGAGGTGGTCATGAGGCCCCTTACATGGCATCTGCCGAGGTTTGCAGCAATGACATTTAATACTTCTGGAATGATTAAGAATCGGAGGACAGACGTGGGCAGCTACGCTGGGCTCCAGGTGGTGGGTGCCAGGCCCTGCCTCCCTGCAGGGGGCCCTGAACATGGGGCAGGAGGGCACAGGCTGGCAGCCCAGGCGGGCGGCAGCTGGAGCTTCCAACATGGCAGAGCAGTGGGCCCGCAGAGAGGCTGGCGTCAGCTGAGGGAGGACTGGAGGGCTGCCACGGCTGGCTGGGCGGGCAGGCAGGCCAGGGAACACAGGGAGCAGGGCCTACAAGAGGCTGGGGCGGCCAGGCCGCCTGCAAGGGCGCCCATAGCCCTCATCGCTGCAGCTGCTGCTCTGCAGGCTGTAGTGGTCATCGGCGTCACTGCTGCTGCCAACACTGTCCAGCTCACCCGGGCCAAACTCCATGCCCTCTATGTCCACCTCTGAGGAAACAGAGAGGAGAGGATCAGGCACCGCACAGCAGAGGGGGCGGCCTCCACATCAGACCTTTCACAGAGTCTGTGCTCTGAGGGGAATGGAGGAGTCCTGCCCAGCCCTGAAGTGGCAGAGGCTGGGACAGCTCTCAGTAAGAACCAGCAGCCTCCAAGGGCACTGCCCAGGGCCCAGCAACCTGTGGTGCTCAAGCATCCCTGGCCTTGTGCTCTGCCCTGCATGCCTTGGTGAAGGATAAAGCTGATCCTGGTGGGTAGTACCCCCAGAGCCACCCTGGCACTTCCTCTCCCACAGGGTGCCCCGGTGCCCCACCTTGCTCCGAGTCATCCGTGGAGACGGCGGAGCCAGTGCTGTCCGTGCGCACGCGCTCCACGCTCTGCACCGACAACTGCTCCAGACGCCGCTTCAGGAAGTGATGCTCCCGCTGCAGCTGCTCCTTGATACTCAGTGCCCTGCGGTCCTGCTCCTCCAGTTTCTGAGGACAGGGATGGGACAGGAGGTGACAGTGAGCCCACGGTCAGGACAGGGCAGCCTCCTCCACAGGTGCAGGGACACAGGCCAGATAGGGCAGGATCTGCACCTCGACATGGCCCAGCCAGGGCACAGCCACGGAGCACCCTCCCCACCGCCTGGCTGAGTCATGTGTGGGCCTGACTCTGGGACAGGGCCGCCTAGCCTTTGTCCAGAACCATCCTAGAAGGGAGCTGCACTGCCACAGCAGGCCTGGGTCCACCTCGGCCTGGGCCCTCGCCATGCATGTACCTGCAGCACCTTGCCCTCCTGGGTCCTCCATGCCTGCCTCGGTGCCCACGCCTGGGACACAGAGAAGGCCCTTAATGGGAACAGAAGTCTGCCATGGCTGCCATGGCTGCCATGGCTGGCCCTGATGTCCTAGATCCCTGAGTCAGGAGGAGAGTCCAAAGACCATGGGGGTGTCCCAGAGAATGTCTCCCTTGACCCCCAGAGCAACTCCACCTTCCTTACACCCTGCGAGGTACTGCATCCATCCCACCTCTCTGCAAAGACACAGAGGGAGACCTCCCCCCCTGACCACTCCATCTTACAACTGCTGCTGACCCAGGGCCACGAGAGTCACCTGTACCCCAAGTTGCCTCCCCAAGCCCAGCCCCCAATACACTGTTCCCTCCAATCACCTCGCCAGGTGACCTCCCAACCCCTGCAGCTCCTGTGGCTGCCCCCACAAGACACCTCAAGCCCTGCTAGGCAGTTCCCTACCATTTCCAGAGCCTCTGGGTCAGGGGTCCCTGGGGCACACAGGACGGAGACAGGACGGGGCAGGCCGGGCCTGCTCACCTTGATGTGCATCTTGGCGCGCTTTAGAAGGCTCAGCGTGGTATGGCGCGTGCTGTCCGGGCCCAAAGGTACCAGCTGCTTCAGCTGCTCCAAGTAGAGTCTGAGCTTGGCTCGTCTGAAAGAGTCAGAGATGGAACCATCAGAACACATGGCAAACCAAGTGTGGCAGCAGGAGCCACTGACCCAGACTCTCACAGACCCCACCCCACCACAGGGACTGGATCCCCTCCTGGCCTGGCCAGCAGCTGCCAGTGGAGCAGTGGGGTGCCTGCAGCTCTCTGGACGTGGCATCCACAAGACTCCACATCCTAGTGACACTCAACCTGGGCGTGGGGACCTGGAGACTTGGAAACATGCACACCTCCCACCTCGCCACATACAGTGTGCCTTGGTTGCTGCCGTCCTCACAGAAACCTGAGTTTGTTGAGGCAGGGAGGGTCAGGGACCAGCCAGTCCCTTTGGAATCTGTTGCAGTCAGATTCTGTCCCCATCTCCATAAGGATGGATTCATTTTCCCCAAAATTGGAGCTGTATACTCAGGGTGCTGGTTCATGAGTCATGATCCCTCGAGAAACACTGCCTTCCCTGGCTGGGGAGCAGCAGCAGTTGGCCCTGGTCTTCCCCCTGATGCTCCAAGATGGCCTGGGATCTCTGCCATGTCCGCATACATCTACCCACCTGGCACCCACTTCAGGGCATGCATGACACCCTACAACAGACCCCTCCCCCGCAGCCCTGCTTCCAAACCCTGCATACTCGCTTAGAATGAATCCTTAGGAGCAGGCCTGCCAAGTCAGGGGTAAGAATATGTTTTCAGGCTTTTAAAAATCCCTTGCCCCACAGTCCTGCACGGTCAGCATCCACACGCATTCCTCTCCCCTTTCCAGATCTGCTCCCTTGCTGCGGAGCCCCTGCAAACCCACAACTTCCTTCGGTCCTGAAGGGACCCTGGAGGACAGTGGGCAGGGACAGCCACCTCCTGGACAGAGAAGCCCAAGGTCCAGGGGAGGAGGAGCCACTGGGTGCAGAGAGAGGCAGGAGAAAGACCTGTGATTCTGGGTCACCTTCTGCTAACACATCCGCATAGCACCCTCCACAGCCAAGCACCTTCTGGCCCGGTGTCCCAGGCCATTGTACCTGGGAAGCCAGAGGTTTTGGATTAACTCGAAGGAGACCTTAGGAAGAACTTCCAGGGCACAGGAACTGAGGCTGCGCTTGGCTAGGTGGGGCCTAGACCCCAGGCCACCGCTGCAAGACTACCCAGAATGCCCAGAACCTCAGCCTCCTCCTCTCCACGGAAAAAAGGCCCCAGTGCCCAGGAACTGAAGGAGCAGGATACTGAGCTGGGCAGGGGAACAGAGCTCTCTGCTCAGGGAGAGGGACCCTCCCAAGACGGATCTCCACTGTCCACCACCAGGACCAAGTTTGCAAACAGGGATGCTGCCAGGGACCTCCTCCCTTGGCCCCATCATAACATAGCAAACAGCAATTTTGGCACAACCTTTATGGAAATATTAGAAAATACAAAGAATAAAAGCATCCTCACATTCCATCACCCATACACAACTGCTCTGCCATTTTGGTATATTACATTTCCACATCATAATGTTAAGTGAAAAAAACCAGGATACAGAACCACATATGTGACAGGTGACCCAAACAGCAGACGCACACGAGAGACTCCACAGAACACTATGAAGCACGGGAAGCCTGCATCTCAGGGACATGCGCTGGCAATGTTTATCTCCTGAGTTCATGCTTTTCTGTATTTTCTAGTTTTCTATGCTTAAAATACCCACAGATTACTATTATAATCAGAGGACAAAATTGTACCAAAAAGAAAAAAAAAAAAAAAAAAAACAGCTAACAGACAAAATGATAGCAAAAAAATATTCAAAAGACAAATGGTTGGTGTCCATGATATCTTGAGCTCATACACCAAAAGGGAAAAGCAGTAATTCTGTGTAACAACAAGCAAAGGATACAAACCAGCAAGCTGCAGCATACAAAGGGCAAATCTAACATAAAACTGATTCCATCTCAGGAGCAATCAAGGAAATGAAAACGTAAACAAGCAGACACTCATTTTCCCCTTTGTAAAAGCTGAAAAGGCCGCCGGTGCTTGCCTGGCCAGCACGTGGGGACTTCAGAGTCTGCGTGGCACAGGAGCTGCCGGCGCAGCTGTGAAAGTCACATCAGCTTAGACCATCAGCCAGGGTTTCTACTTCTAGGACTCAGGTCCTACAAAACCACGCCCAGTATATGAAGACCACACTCAGCAAGGCTTCCTGCAGAGGGCCATGGCCAGAACCCCAGAGCAGACTCCAGGATGGAAGCCCACAGAGGAGACTTGGACATGGGCAGGGGACACTCATGTGGTACCACAAGGTCAAGGTGCAGGGCAGTGGTTAACGAAGTCCCCTTCTCATCCCAGGGGCACCATTTCTGGGGCAGTGTGTAGTGGGGCAATGTGTCCAACACTTGAGAAAGGGTCATTTCTCGAGAGACAAACAAGGCCGCTTGACCAAGCTTGTGCAGTGTTTAAAGCTCCATACGTAGGCCCAGCCCTGGGAGAGCATACAGCCAGGGCTGCAGGCTGCACAGGTCATCCTGGCACCCCGCCCTGGGCAGTGGCTGTGACAGACTGCCTGGGGCAAGGGCCTGGAACTGGCTCTGCCAACTGCTGCTTGAGGGATGCGGGGTGGGGTTCGGGGCACCTATCTCAGCCCAGGAAGCACTGGACTGTCACCAAACCTTCCTCCCTACAGCCACCGCAGCACCCCAGCCCTTAACCATCACCCCTCGGCTGTCCATGCCCATTCAAGGAGCTCCTGAACTCCTGAAGGAGCCCTGCATGGCTTGCGGGCAGCGTGTGCTCTGCATCCCTCAGCCTGATCGCCCTGTACAGGGCCTGCCCAGCTTTCACTGCAAAGCTGGCTCCTCGGGAGGCCCAGAGTTCCACGCCAGGTCCCCCAGCACCCAAGGAAGGGCAAAGTCCAGCTTCCCAGAGAAAAGAAATGTAGAGGATGTGGGAGGTGGGAGAAAGCACCTCGCCCTCCCGTCTGTTCACCTGCATGTTCTGGCTGTCCCTAACTTACGTTCCAAGGGGTTCTACAGAACTGCAGTCCTATGGGGAAAGCTGAGGACACAGGGCAGGAAGGTCACAACTTGGGACAACGGGCCCGATGCTTGGAAGGGGGCAGGAACCCAACTGAGGACGTGGGCCTGGCCTCTGGGACATGTGCTGGCCCTCCAGGAAGCACTGAGGGCCAGGAAGACAGCCAGGACTCTCTGCCCAGTATCCTACGGCAGAACCTGGGGCCGGCACAGAAGCAACAGCCAAGCACAGGCCTCGGCAGCCCTGCTGCAGCTGTACGTCCACACCAGTGCTGAGAGGAGGAGGAACTGGACCGGCCACTCAGAGCACCACTAGGGGAAGCCCCAGGGCCCAAGCCAGGCCCAGGAGGTTGCACCTCCAGGGAAGGCATCATCTGACCCTTTCTTCCTCAGGGAGGTCCCAGCCGCCCCGACAGCTGCCAGCCAGGAGCATCAGCAGCCAAGACCTCCGTCTCTGCCCCGGCCACAAGGTCCAGGCTCCTCACACCTGCATCTCAGCCAACCAAGAACAGAGACCTGCCACTGGGCTGGGGGGAACCCAAAGACCCTCTGGCCGCCCAACCACCCCTCCTCTATGTCAAAGAGGTCCCAGGAAAGCCCTGTGTAAGCTCAAACTCAGATGGTGGGGACTCACATGGAGGTCAAGGGGCAGCTGCCCCGGCAGGGTCAGAGACCAGGCCCCACCCTCCCTGGAAGGCACCACCCACCTGTCAGATTCCACCTCCAGGAAGCTCTCCCAGAGTACCTCCATGCCTGCCTAGATCCTGTGTCCTGCTCAAGGCCAGGCTGGTCTCCTCTGGCCTGGGAGCAACCCTAGGCCTGGCCGGCACCAACCCTCCAGCCTGGTGGCCTCGCAGGAAGCCCCCAAACACACCGGACCAGTGCAGGAAGTGCAAGCCCTCAGGGAACACCGTGTTCCGTCCCTGCAGCTGCCTGCCTCAGTCAGAGACCCAAATCACATCCCAGGGGAGCGGAAGTGGGCGCAGACAAGAGGGAAGGGGAGGGGGGACGTGGCTGAACTCCAAACCTTCCCAGCAAGACTAGGGTGCAGACCTGCTCACAATGAAGGCAGGAAAGAACACATCCATGGCAGGCAGGAGCAGAGGCCAGAAGAGAGCTATCGCCCAGCACCCCCGGGGCTTCCTCTGTCCTGGAGGAGGCTCCCACCCCTGGGGCTTCCTGGCCAACGCTGCTCGGCCCCATACTCCAGCGCACCTCCTTGGAAGGCACAGGACAGGGGGCAGAGGCCCGGGGGTCCTGCTGCTCCAGAGGGGTTCGGACACTCCAAAGCACACCATGTCCTCCAGGTCACTGGCCATGACTGCCACTAGCATTAGGGACCCTGTTCCAACTCCCTGGCCCAGGCTGAGGATCCAAGGGCACAACCTGGGCCCCTTCACCTGCCAGACAGCCTGAGAGCACTTGGGCATAGACACAGAAGACACACACAGCCCTCCCAGGACAAGGCAGGCCAGCCACAGCCCCCCCTCTGCCCACCGGGCCACATGGGATTAAGGGGTCACTTACCTGTGCTTTTCTAGTTCGTTGTGTGAAGACCTGTTCAGAGAGACAGAAAAATGAGGCTCACTCAGAGGCCCAGCACCAGACCACAGGGGATGACAGCCGTGATCAAGGGCTGAGGGCCAGACAGGTTGGGGGCCGAGGCTGTCCCTAACTATGAGGAGGAGGAGCACACAAGAGCAGAGATGGAGCAGAAAGGAGGCCCAGGACCACCCAGACCACCTCAAGAGGCGGGGGGGGGGTTCTGGCTGCCAGGGAGCCGCCCAGACACCTGTCCCCAAGGCCAGCCTTCAGGACACAGGACACTCTCGTCCCCCACAACCACACCACGAGCTCACACAACTGCGGCTTGCAGCCCACCCTGTAGATGGTATGCCCAAGACAGGGAAGTCCAGATAGGCAGGCCTACAAGGGACACAGGAGGGACGCTGAGGTCCTACAGAGCCCAGCCTCCCTCATAAGCCAGCAGACCCTACAGACCACGTGGCCAGGCTGTGGCTTGGTCTGATGGACAATCCCCAGCAGGCCAGGAGGAGCATCAGCAGTGTCCCCTCTGGCTCTGGCTGGTCCTGGCAGAAGTTCCAAAGCTCCTCACCCAGCCCATGTGACCAGCGGTTTCTGCACAGGGAGACCCGGGAGCCAGGAGGTGTGGTGGGAAGAGGGCCCCAGGTGGTCAGCTAGGTGAGGGAAAGACAGAGGGGGCAGCGGGCAGTGCCCAGGAATCGACAGTCTTGGTTTGCACTGAGGTGACCTGAGCCCTCTGCTCACGTGTGCAGCAGCCTGGGTGGGCTGGGCACCTTACCTAGCCTGTGGGGTCCCCTCAACTGGGAAGGTGACCTAAAAGTACCACGGCAAACTACCTGAGTGGCACTACCTGCTGTGGGGCTCAGCATTCTGCAGCCCTGTCTGACTGGACCAGATTGGCAGGGCTGCCCTTCAGCACAGAGAAGCCCACCCACCCCCAGAAGGATGGCGCTGGGCTGGCCCCATCCTAGTAGGAGAGGTCCTCCTGAGTCCAGAGACCCCTGCAAGGGCCTTGTCCCTGGGGAGAGGGGACCAGCCCTGGCCAGCTGTACCAAGTGCTTTCCTGGCACCACTTGGGCCCAAGGAGGCAGGAAATCTCTGCTCTGCTCAGAGAACCTGATTCCTTCTGCTGAGCCACTACATAGAGGGTTGCCCAGACCCCACCTCATGGCTCCTACTCCCTGCTCACCTCATACGGAGGCTGTGCCTGTCCCTAGCCCTGGCCTTGGCAGAACACAGAAGTCTCCCAGGTATGGGGCTGCTCTGCCACGTCAGGGGGCCAGGCCCTTGTGTGGGCTGGCTGGAAACAGCTTGGAGGGTAGTGACAACCAAGGGAGCTGGGCCTGCTGCAGGGGAGGTGCACCCCAGCCAGACAGCCTCTCTGCACCCCTCACTCCATGCTCCAGCAGAAGGTGGAAAGCCAGGAGGCAGGTGAGCAGCCCCAGGGAAGTCACCTGATCTTTCTAGGCCTCAATTTCTGTAAAATGGAGACAAACAATCCTTCACTGGAGGAGCTGGAGGTTTGGATCAGCTCCTGGGGGTGGGTGTGCAGGTGGCGCTCAGGAGCCTTCATCGTGACTCTGCTGGTGAGCATGGGCACTCCACACCCTGGGAGCCAGGGACAGCAGAAGCAGGGGCCTGGCCAGCTCACCACGGAGGCCCAGGGCAGTGCAGCCCCAACACTCGTCCTCTGCTAACGTCTCCAGCAGCGGATCAGGGGCTAAGGCTCAGGAAGCTGAAGCCTCAATCAATTCCTCGCCAGGCTTAGGACGCCACAGAGCTGGGTCCCCGTGCCAGCCTCTCTGTTTCCCAAGAACAGGCAGCCACAGGAATGAGCCACACCCTCTGCCAAGGGGCCCCAAAGCCCCCAGCCAGCACAGCTCCAGCCGGGGGCCACGGGAAGGGCTGGGCCAAGGCGGGCCCCTAGACAGAGCCCAGCAGTCGGTGGCCCTGGCAGAGGCTGGAAGAGTGGAGCCTCCGGAAGAACCAGCCCAGAGGGCCAGGTCCCTACCTGGGCTAAGCATGCACCCCAAGCTTCGGGGCTTGCAAACTCTAACCTCAACGTCCAGGGCACCAAAGGGGTAGCTGGCCCCAGAGAACCTGCAGCCTGCCCCTCCTCTCACCCCACCGAAGGCCCGGGCCCTGTACTTGTGGATGGAGCTCCACGGTCCGGGGCTGGCAGGCCGGTGGGCACGGGGAGGGGTCTTTGTCTGGGCTCCCGGGGTGGGGTGCGAGCAGACACTCAGGGCCCGGAACAAGGGAGGGAGCTCGGGGCCACCCGAAGCCTCCGAGTCCCCGGGCCCAGGACTCCGACCCGTGGCCGCTGACAACGCGCCCACTGCCCGGGGAGGTCGGCGGCGCCCCAGGGCGGGCGCGGGCGCTGTACGCGTGGCACTGTTTACGGCGGCGGAGGCGCGGCCGCGGGAAGA